TCGAAAGATATGTTCTTGCTGGCTATTACTTGATACAGGTTCAATTTTTTTGGGCTATACGTAAGCATGTAGAGAGCTGAACTCTTGAATTTTTATATAGTGCATGGCCCTCTGGATTTGCAGCTTGGATTACCCTTTTTTGGTTTAGAGGAGCAATTTAGTTATGTTTTGTTTGTATTGTAAGTTCAGACTTTTAAATTCAATAACTAATACTATTTGCCCAACAAATATCTCGCTTCTAATTTGTTCCTATGAATAGAGATATTGACTAGAGATTTCAATGATGCTGAAAGATAAGTTCTTTTATTGGCCATAGCTAAAGGTTTGTCATGTGGTGGAATTTTTTTGATAACCTTGAAACTTGTTTCAATAACCCATAAGTGCCCAGGCAGTTTTTTACTTTCATGTGGTTCGTGTCTTTAATCCCCTTTTTGTGTTTAACAATTATTTACCTTGAAATAGTTCCTATAATTGAACTAACCAATGTTTTGAATTGCTTAAATTAGGTTGTATTCTTCTCCAGCTAATTGTTCACCATCTTCACTGTGAGAGACACGCATTTCCAACCCAAGAAGCTTAGAGACGAGCACCATCAGACACAGGTTAGTTCTATCTTAACTATATTTTGGTCTAAAATTACATGTTTGGCGAGTAATTCATTACTGCATTGTAGGGACTTTGAATCATTAGAAGAGCATAAATAGAAAATATTTAAATTTCTGTATTAATAATGATATGTAAGATATAACATGACATCTATAGAACATAAATAAGAAATATACGAACTTGAAGAATGGAACATAAATTATCGTTTTGGTCTAAAATTACATGTTTGGCGAGTAATTCATTACTGCATTGTAGGGACTTTGAATCATTAGAAGAGCATAAATAGAAAATATTTAAATTTCTGTATTAATATTGATATGTAAGATATAACATGACATCTATAGAACATAAATAAGAAATATACGAACTTGAAGAATGGAACATAAATTATCGGGGAAAAAATAATGGAACATAAGTAACATTTTTTATTTATGTATTAGAAAATGGCACCAGATAAACAATGGATAAATATGAGTGACAGACTCAATGTGGAATACAAGAATGGGGTTACGGAATTCCTAGACTACGCCTTTCAAAAGAATAACGCGAGAGAAGAAATTAGATGTCCTTGTGTTATATGATTCAACGGGGGACAAGGATCTCGTGGTAGCATTGAGAAACATTTGTTGGTTCATGGAATCACTTCAAACTATACATTTTGGTGTCATCATGGGGAGAAGTTGGGTGAGTCATTGGGATCATGTGATGAAGATGTCATAGTTTGTGACTCAAATAACATGTTTGATATGCTGAGGGATCTGTATCCTAATGTTGATCCTGACGATAATGGAGTTGCTATGGATATGGAGGATACATATAATGAGAGGCCAAATGATGAAGCAGAAAAGTTTTATAGGTTGTTAAGTGATTCTGAGCAGTCATTATATGATGGTTGCAAGAGTTCCCAGTTATCAACTCTAATAAAGCTTCTTCATATTAAGGCTCAAGGTAAATGGAGCAATTAGTCATTCAATATGTTGCTCAAAATGATGAAGGATGACCTTTTGCCTAAAGGTGCTGCTTTACCGGATTCCTATTATGAAGCAAAAAAAAAAAAATCATTAAGGATATTGGGCTCTCATATGTGAAGATCGATGCATGTCAAAATAGTTGTATGTTATTTAGAAAGGACGATGCAAATTTGGAATTTGCAAGGTTTGTCAAACGTCACGGTGGAAAACCGATAAACATAGTGGAGTGCAAATCAAATGGGAAGAGAGTACCAAACAAGGTTTTGCGGTACTTCCCACTAAAACCACGACTTCAACATCTGTTTATGTCCACTAAGACTGCTTCCCAAATGAGATGGCATAGTAAGAACAAGGGCATTGATGGAGTTATGAGGCATCCAGCTAATTCAGAAGCGTGGAAATCGTTTGATGGCAATTATCCATTCTTCGCAAGTGAACCTCGAAATGTCAGACTCGCTCTTGCAAGTGATGGTTTTCAGCCATTCACAAACTCAAAAACTCCCTATAGCATTTGGCCAGTGGTATTAATCCCCTACAACTTGCCTCCTTGGATGATCATGAAGTCTTCTAATTTCATCCTTTCTATGTTAATCCCTGGTCCTGATAGTCCTGTAGATGCTATAGATGTTTATTTACAGCCTTTAATAGAAGACTTAAAGTCTCTGTGGGAAGAGGCGTGAATACATATGATGCATCAAAGAGGCAAAATTTTCCACTGTATGCTTCCTTATCTTGGACAATCAACGACTTTATAGCTTATGCCAATTTATCGGGTTGGAGTACGAATGGAAAGATGACATGTCCTCTCTGCACTAAAGACACAATGTATAAGTGGTTATCTAATGGAGGCGAGCATTGTTACATGTGTCATAGGAGTTGGCTTCCTAATCGTCATAAATGGAGGAATGATGAGGAGTCATTTGATGGTACAAAAGAGAAGAGAGGCCGCCCAAGGCATTTGCTAGGAGATGAAATACTTGAACAAGGTAAGGATCTTGAGGGACTTCCGTTGACTAGATGTCCAAAGACTAAAGTCGAGGTCTCCCATGAAGATCAGGGGGATAATTGGAAAAAGAAGAGCATATTCTTTGATCTTCCTTATTGGAAAACACATCTATTGCGTCATAACTTAGATGTGATGCATATAGAGAAAAATATTGTGATAGTGTGCTTGGAACAATCATGAATTTGTCAGGAAAGACTAAAGATACAATGAAGTCGCGTCTCGACTTGGAGGTATTTAAATTAAAACCAGAATTGCATCCCATTAGAGAGGGAGGAAGGGTAAGATTACCAGATGCATCCTATACATTAACGAAAGATGCAAAGAAGAAGTTTTGTCTTTGGTTGAAGCGACTGAAAGTTCCCGATGGATTCTCTTCTAATGTAGCACATTGTGTGAATGTAAATGAGCTGAAGATCTCGGGTTTGAAAAGCCTTGATTTCCATGTTCTTCTACAACATCTTATCCCTCTTGCCAGACGTGGTCTTTTGCCAAAAGATGTTTGTAATGCTCTTATAATGTTACCGCAGTTTTTCAAGATCTTGTATTCCAAAACATTGAAGTTCGAAGAGTTGAACCATATTCGAGTTCAAATTCCATACACTTTGTGCAAGCTTGAGAAGATATTTCCACCATCATTTTTTGACATTATGGTGCACCTACAAATTCATTTGGCTGATGAGGCAATGGTTAGCGGTCCAATACAGTTTAGATGGATGTATCATGTAGAATGATATTTGCATGAATTGAAGTCCTACATTCGGAATAGGACTCATGTCGAGGGCTCCATTGCCGAGGGATATATTGCTTCAGAATGCATGACTCTTTGCTCTAGATATTTGAACGATATCCCAACGAAGTTCAATAAACAAGATAGGAATGATGGTGATAATGTCATGGAAGACTTTTTGGGATCTTCACTTGCTGGACGACCATTGGGTGGAGGAAAGCCTCGCAAGCTTAGTCTCGAGGAGCTATGGAAAGCTCACATCTATGTTATGAAGAACATTGAGGATGTGCAACCTTTTTTAGAGAAAGAAGCTTATCCCTTTTTGGTTGATTGAACTTTATCTGACAGTTTTTATTCCTTTAGGGTTGTAATAGTGATCTCATGTTTAACATTGTAGAGAATTTGCTGCACTTCCCGAGTATAAATCTTATCAAACATCTCAAGAGAGTCAAACTTTATCACCTGGTTTAGAAGAAAAGTAACGTTCTTAACACTTATTTACTTCTCAAACTTATTTAATAGGATTTGAAATTTAATAACTTAGAATTTGGTAAACATTTGTAGGTTGCAAGATTTCCCAAGGATGACAAAATAAGGAAATAGCGGATCTTTTATCATTATCACGTGGTCCCTTTGAAGGAATGAAATGTTATAATGGTTATATCATAAATGGATTTCATTTTCACACAAAAGATCATGACAAACATTTGAAGACTCAAAGTAGTGGGGTTGTTGTAGTTGGTGACGATGGAGTTGATGTGGAAGCTATAGATTACTATGGCGTGCTTAGAGAGGTTGTGGAGCTGCAATTTCTTGGAGGAAGAACGTTAGCTCTATTTCGGTGTGATTGGTGTGATGTGTACAACAAGGGAAAAGGTGTGAAGATGGATGAACATGGGTTTGTGAGTGTAAACCTCAAAAGAACTTTGAAAATGAACGAACCTTTCGTCCTAGCGAGTCAAGTATCTCAAGTGTTTTTTGTCGAGGACAACTTGAACAAGGGTTGGCATGTCGCTGCAAAAGTACAACCAAGAGAACATATTGCACCCTTTATTATTGTACTCTAACTTATGAATCTGTAATATTGTTGGATTAGCATATTTGAAGTGATTTTAATCTGAATCTAGTATTTTCTTTTAATATATTGTCCCTTGTACCTAAACTAGCTAAAATGACAGGGTAGGCATCTAAGGTGCCACATGGGGCTGCAAAGAATAAAGATGGCGTGAAGAAGAAAGGTGGAGCGAGGTATGTCGCACCGGGCTCCTTAGGGAGGTTATCAAAATGATCAAGCTTCTCTTCATTAAGCTCTACATCAAAAGTTCCTTCAATGAGTGCTAGTACTTCACAGATCCAACCTACCATGACTCGTTGTACTTTTACTTATAATTTAATTAATTTTCTGCTAAATAGCTAAGTTGGAAGCTTTCATTTGTTTATATAAGATTTGTACTGAATGATGTCAAGCTGCCATGGTCTGTTAGGTATATTAGTTTGAGCTGCCAAGCAGTCATTATGTATTGAATGACATTACTTTTGTTGTTGTTCTTATTGGTTTATCATTGTTTTGTTATAGGAGTGAGAACACAGAGAAAAAAGCGGGGTAGAACTATTTGCAGGAGACTTATTAATTTGAGACCTGGTGAGAAGCTACTAATCAACTTCGCAAATAGACGAGGTGCTGGTCCTAATGGCAGTGTGTGGTCAAGCTATCTTGGTACGATTGTTCGAAATTCATAAATGTGTCCATTTAGAGTTAAGGATTGGGATGAGATAGGTCATGAATAATTAGAACATATGTGAGTTGCAGCTAAGGTACTTAATATTATTTTGCTATTAAATAACTTTTTAATTATCAAGTTTAGGATAATTGGTAGCTAAGTACTGATATTATTACTTTAAAATATAGGAGTATTTCACAAATCCTGATATGGAATCGGCAAAGGAGGATGTTCTTGACCATATGAATGAATTGTGGAGAACTTGGAGATCTAGGATGAATCGTGATCATGTAAAACCTCATGACAGCTTGGTAGAGATTCTCGAAGATGTTCCAGAATTCTTGAGCAAAGAGGATTGGGAGTGGTGTGTGAAGGAGAAGTTCCTTTCTGAAGAATTTCTGGTGAAACAATCCTACTCTAAACTACATTTTCTACTGCTTTTGGTTCAGTGGCGGCAAAGACTTTTATCTAATTATTGATTATCTCCTTGAATAGAAGATGTTACATCCCAACGTTTGAAGTCTAGGATCGACCGAACAGTTCGATTGACGATTACGTATGAAGGGTTCGACCATAAATTAGAGATAATAATAATAATAATAATAATAACTATTATTATTATTATCATAATAATCATCACTCACCACTCACCTCACGTATTTCCCCATGGCAAACTATTATTATAATCATTATTATCACCATAATTTTTAAAACCCCCACCTGCATGTATTCCTCCATAGCAATCCGTTACTTCATTAAATCCCCACTCCTGAACACTTTAATATTAAACCCCTCCTCCACCGTAAACTGTAATAAGCAAAGAGAACCGAAGAAAAGGAAGATAGAAAGGAAAAAAAATCCTTCGTCGTCGTCATCACCATTCCACCGCAAGAGGAGCTTTCGTGCAACCAAGCCTTCCTGCGAGAGCAAACGAGCAGTAGCAGCGCCAACTAGTACCACCGTCCCGGAAGCCCAACTTCAACATCGTCGTCGACGATAGCGTTCTTCAAATGGAACTGTAGTGGTAACGATTCTCGTCTGTCCCCAAGCTCCATCATTAAGCCTCGACTAACCCGACGAATGTCGTAATAGTTGTAGCTTCGACGGCGGTCCCGGCGTAGTCAATCTCAACCAAGCATCGAAACCTTGGTATCATCGTGTAGAGGGAAATCTCAGTAGCACCCCGGTTTCGACGGAATCGAGTTTCGACGTCGGACGAGAAAGATACGAGCCTCTAAAACTTGAGACGTGAATTGGATAGTTCAGGTACCATTACTGTCTGTTCAAAAAGTATAAGGACCAAGAGGGTAATTTAGTTTCAGTCTGTGAGAAAATGTCCATGTTAGTTCCCCATATTTCCAGTACAAGCAGCTTAGTCCCCGGAGTTTTAAACTTTCATATTCGATCGAAAATGGGGTTTTCTCTAGATTATTATTATTTTTGTTGCCGTACAATGGGTATTTTCATAGTATGATAATTTTATAAATAAGAAAAAATCAATAGGGTGTTTGGATATTAATTCAAGGATTTTTGGAGCTGTTGTTCTAATTAAAAAAATTGGTGGGAAGACTATTTTAGTTAAATAAAATAGTATGCAAATGTTTTTGCCGGATTTGATAATTTTAGTCTAAGCAATATACACGTATGTTTGTTCAGAAATTATTTGGTAATTTTTAGAGTGGACTCGCTACTTATAAAAATTCAGATAGTGTCGGTTTTAAATTATTAAATTGCTGTAAGAATATTCCTATTACATTTTTAATTTTAGGTGAAACTAGAGTATATCATCTATGTTATAAAAGTGAGTACCATAATTCTAGACATTTGTAGCATAGGCTTAAAATTAGTTATGTTAAATTAAATAAGAAGAATGGGTTAATTAAGGTATAAATTATAGTTAATAATTTTGGTTTATGTTTTGAGTTATTAGAAGTCAGAATTTGTAGTTCTCAGAGGTAAGGAATTTTTTGGAATATCTATATGAGATTTATGCAAAGGATTGTTTAATTATTAACATGAGACAAGGCCTTTCTTTTAAAGAATTTTGGGACTAAGTTAGGAGAATGGAAAATTTTGCGGAATAGCGACTAAGATAAATTAATCTCGATTTATAGGATCAAGGTGGCGATCAAATTATGGGACTCCACGTCAAAGGAAGTAAATTATCGGCACTTGAGAGGTGAGTGTAAAGGGGGTAAAATCTTCGTCGAGGTCTTTTAGTTTATATCTTTTAATTCAGTTGTGTTTTATTATTTTCAAGTAAGCACGATTATGTAAGTGAAGCATCCCACCGCCTACTTAAGGTGGAGACACACGTTGTGCTATGTATGTGAATGTGTGTGGTGGTTGGTAAGATGAACCCCCCGGTGGTTGGGCCACTACTGGACGCAGTAGATGGTCGGATCACTGCTGGACGGCGAGATGTAACGCAACAGTTGATCGAGTATGTTGGGGTCACTACTGGACGGCGAGACGTAACGCAGTAGTTGACCGGGCATGGACTGGACGGCGAGACGTAATGCAGTGCCATTGCCAGGTTTGTGTATGCAACCGGACGACGAGATGTAACGCGGTTGGCATACTAAGGTAGGGACACCGGACAGCGAGACGTAACACGGTGGTTCCTAGTATTTATGTGTATGAGTTAAGATAGAAGTAGAGAACTTCTGTGAGTTAAAAGTTTAAATGAGTTATTAAGGATGAAAGCGAGAACGGCTTTCATCTAAGGAAAGGAAACGCTAATAACGTGTTTTAGCAAGGAGATTTCTAAGGGCAAAGACCTTAGGAAGTAAAGACGAGACTTACCCCTTCTCACTCACCAGGTGTGGAAAGGGGAAGAGGACGTAACCAGCACGAGGAGGTTAATCGAGGAGATCAGCCACGTTAAGCTTGAAGATGTCGGAAGGATAAGGGTAACGCGATGAGGCTATCCATCTTAACTGTTCTTATTCATGTCTTTATGAGTATAGTGGGAAACTCAAGATTGTGTTTTTAAGTGATTTGGATTGTAATTGCCCAAGTACTTAGGGCCTTTCATTTGAAATTCTTAGTTTGATTTTCAAAATGTGGTTTGGGTTGCTCCGGAGTAACCGGTTTTGGTTTTAGAGTTCTACTTTTGGTTTCAAAAGGATCGGGTTGTTTCAGAAGATGAGTAAGAACAATGTAACACCCAGCTCATCGGTTATCAATAATCATATTAACCCTAAGCTAAACCCTAGATCGGTTACGGAGAGTACATATAGATTATGGAGTAGCCGCCCCACACTTGTATCTTCCTTTCTATCGCTCCAATTCTCCCCTAGCTCATGAATCTCTATCCCTCAAAATCGAGAGCTGTAAAACTCAACTCATGTTCAATTGGTAGCCACGACAGGATGTGAAAGAGAGAGGGATCTGGATGAGGATAAGAGAATCGGCGGTTGGGTAAACACCGGCTGCAGTCGGGATTGAACATGAACAACGTCGGATGTCCCTAGTCCTTAAAATTTTATCGGTAGCCGCACCAGGGAAGCACCACGTACGCGGAAGCCACCGTTGGAGTTTCAGTTACGTGCAAGCAGGCAGAGGTGCAGTGTTGCCCAATGAGAGGGAAGGTTATTGGATTTGGTAATATAGACAACTTGAACTAGAGCCGGGGTGAAGGTCGAGGCCGAGGAGCTGGACGCGTTACTATGGATATTCTCATGCAGAGTTGTGGCCCTCATTTTGGGGAAGCTACCTAGACTACTCATGCTTGATTAGTTCCTAGAGAAGGAAATGGTTAAGTTAATTTGTAGAGATATGAGACGTGCTTTAACGTGGCTTGGACAAATTTGTTGCGGTTGATTTTTGTGAAAGAGACGAATGGGGTTGATGGCGAACGAGGTCAAGCTAATGCTAAGGGATATATTGTGGCAGCTTCTGGGAACTTAAATCATGATATCTATTGATCTACAAAGTGGAATCTTTTGCGGTATAAGCAGGTGAGTGTAAAGGGGGTAAATTCTACGCCTTACGGTATTTAAGTTTTTGAAATTTGACTGCTATGTGTCGTACTTGCCTTTGTATGCTTATATGATGTCATATGATTTGTGTGAGTTATGCTTTCAGTTTTATGTTGTTGTGTGCATTACTTACAAGTAAGTTTAAGTTAAAGAAACAAGTTCTTTTTAAGAATTTACTCACCTTCTAGAAGGTGAAGTCGTTTTAAGTGTTTTTAGTCACTAGCGCCAGTCCGTTGACTTTTGAGAAATTTTGAGATAGAGCAGCAGTTATGCTCTTGAGACTTTAAGATGAGCAGCAGTTATGCTCTTGAGAATCGTGGTGAAGAGCCACCACGATAAGTTTAAGATGTTAGGGGGATGAATCGTTACGACTCCCCTAACTAAGTTTAAGTTTAAGGAAAGCCTGGATGGCTTCTCATACGTATGAGTTGGCAACCGGACTAGTTAATGAGGGATCCCCGTGTCAGTCAAGTATTTAAGTCAAGATTTGAGCTTTAAGAGAGGAGAGTAGCTTCAACTCCCTCAAAGTTTAAGAGTTAAGATTTTAAGATTGGAAGTACAAACAACTTCCACTAGTTAAAGTTAAGTGTTTAAGTAAAGTACTCAAGTATTAGAATTATTAAAACGTAAGGGCGTAGACTGACCCCATCTCACTCATCAGGACTTAGTAAAGGAATAAGTGAGAACTAGATCGATAGTTGTAGCTAGAGGAGCAGTTAGGGAGCAGCAAGATCGAGAAAGCTGCTCGAGGCAAGCTAGCTAGAGGAGGATAGTACAAGCGTCAATGGAGGTGCCAGAGATCGAATCTGAGCAGACAACAAAGTAGAGTTTTAGTTATTGATTAACGATTTTGAGTAGTGACTGGAGATTCAGATTAAGATTCTATGGTTGAGGTTTGCCCAAGTGTTAGGGCTTTGTTTTAAGAGATTTCAGTTCACTTCAGTATTTTGTTATGGTTATTTATGGAAAGCTTCCATTTTTTTTACAAGTCTTTTGTTTCTTATTTTGGTTTATGAGTCATCAAGGGCATTTTGGATAAATTAGTACCCGACCGGGTTAGGGTGTTACATTTTGGTATCAGAGCCGGTCTTCCTCTGTTTCTTGGTTCCCAAGAAATACTGGAATGTCGGTCCCAGTTTTTAAAGGTTATGTTTTAAAGGAAAGGAAAACGAGTCAAGCGTCTTCTTTTAAGAGTCTATAGAATCTCCAGTCTACTGTAATCATATTAAGGTAAATAACTAAAGTTCTAATAGAAGAGGTTCCAATCGTAAGGGAATACCTCTAGGATTTTGAAGGAGTTGAAGGAGTAGTACGAGGATTCTACTACTAGGCAACAAGGAGAGGATCTAATAAGAAAAAGCAAACAAATAGGAGAACTATGAATCTCCAAAGAAAGAGGTGCAGTCACTAGATGTCAGTAGCTATAATGATGGGAGGATTTCAGGGTCCTTGACCCTAAGCAGTGGCGAGGAAGCAACGAGCCAAGAAACGAAGAG